ATTTGAGGTACAATGCTCTTTCATTTAAACTATGAAAACTATGGGGTCAGTTTGATTTCATATATTTTTAAAACTAAATATATATGTAAATTAAAACGTCAAAACGAAACGGGTGACGGGATTTCGATTCCGCTAACCGACAGCTTCTTACGGGCAACTCTCCAACCAAAAAAAGCACCGACACTCACAAATAAAGCTCAACTCACCCTTTGACTGAGTTGGCCAAACTCCCCATGAGATCAACTCCTCAAAGAAGATCAATTAACTTCATGATTATGTCGATTGATTGAGGCATTACAACAAGTTAAGCTTAAATAATCATTAATAAGGAATGATTTTCTATGTAAATGGCCTAGGATAATATCAATTATAATATTAATAGAATAATACGTGAGATAAATCAAGGATTTCTCGGAATTAAAGTGTAAAGAGTACATGGGTTATAATGTATAAATCAACCACTCTATAAATATAAATGATTATTGTAATATAGTAGAATAATACCAATATATTAAAAGTTCATTTTTTTCCTTTTATTTTCTATTACTAAACTCTACTTATTTTCTCCCTTTCTTTAATGATGTGTATTCAAGGATAAATCATCGTCCAAACATAGTAGCTATAATAAAAATAGTATCTAATAGTTTCAAATGGAATTCTTCTACACCATTTACCTTTTTTTTGCAATGATTCTACAACTATTATGATCTCAAATGACCTATGATCGATGCATTCACGTGATTGTTAATTATTACAAAAGAAAAAAAGAAAATTAAGCTGATCATAATTTGGACAAGTGTCCCAATCTCTAGATCCACTTTAATGGGTAAATTATTAAGTGTGAACACCATGATTTTAGATGATCATAATAATTTATCAACAACATTGACTTTATTTGTGGGGGCGGTACAACCTCGTTCCGTTCCAATAACGCCAACAAAACACATCACACATGTTTGGTAAAGGAACGCCGCTGGAAGTTCTTGGAACGATTGCTATTTTCCACCATTTCAGATCAAGATATCTTCACAGCTTCAGTCCTTCATTGGGCATTTCACAAGTAGAAATGTCCAAATTAACCTTTGCACTCTTCCATTCCTTAGCTTCATGTTGGTGGAGATGCTTGCAACGGATTGGTGGTAGATATTTCCTCTTGGAACAAATAGCTATAAATTAGATTTGGGAGTTGGTATAGACAAAATCAACAGAGCATAGGGCAACAATGGCAAAGGTGAAGTGGAAGCAAGGAAGACTAGGAGATTGATACCTTTTGTTAAACAAGATGGTTCATCATTTCATTTTTAGGAAGAGTTGCTAGGATGCTACATCTCCTCTATTAGAATCTGTCCCTTGTGCTTCGCGAGAGGAAAATCGGGCTTTGACTATAGTTAGAGACTGGGTTTGACATGGAGGGTTGGAGGCGAGCGGGATTATCTGGCTCTGATGACTTGATTCATGTAGAGAAGAACTCGTCTATATCGAGCTATATGTCGAAGGCATCATACGAGTTTGGAGAGAAAAAGAGGACGAGGATATTGTTGTATTTTATCTTTAAAAATAGCAAAAAAAAAGTATTATATATTGACTTGAAAAAATTTGGTTACATCATTTTTTATTCCGAAAATGAAGTCTCACACACACACACACTCTCTCTCTCTCTCAAAAAAAGCAAAAAAATGTATCTTTTATTTTCTTCCTAGCAAAGGCTGAACTATTTTTTTGGGAAATCCCTTAGAACTACTGGCTGGGGAG